ATTCTTAATGGTACCCCAAATGTCGATAGCAGTCGCACGTAAAACACAGAAAAGTGCACATTGCAAGACACGCTTGTACATGAGCTTGTCTGGCACATTTTTGGAGCAGAGGGGGCGCAGTCAAATGGAACGCGCTACAAAAAACAAAACTTGGGTGCATCGCTCAGATGTGAATGGGGCCTAAGTAAAAATATCTCTGTGCAGAAACATGGTGGACGCCCTAGAGCTTACTTCTCCTGAGTGTATCTCTATGTAGCTGCAGGGTTGTTATTTTACTGAACTGCTGCCTAGTAAACTGCACACCACGTGTGTGTGTGTGTGTGTGTGTGTGTGTGTGTGTGTGTGTGTGTGTGTGTGTGTGTGTGTGTGTGTGTGTGTGTGTGTGTGTGTGTGTGTGCGTGTCACGTCTTTCAATCGTACAATATTGTCCTGTGGGGTGCAGGTATTTATCTCCATGCATTGCTGTGGATCCTAGCAATATTGGATCATACGTTTCACTAAAATCTGTACTTTTGATGTCAAAGGTGGACTGCCTGATATTAAACTGGTGTGGGCTGATTTATAAAACAGTGACATATATACCTACTCTGTAAATTTAAATCATGCAGGAGACAGAGTGTACAACAAGTGCTTGTTCTCTGTGTGCAGATTGCAGACCACCACATCAACCGATGTGTGTGTGGGTTGTTTTTTTTTTTTTTTTTTTTTTTTTCTCCCTGTATCCAGGGTATTTTAGTTGCCAAAGTCTAGGTACAGGGCACGATCTGTCAGCAAGACCTCTTCCCATGATGATTTCTTGTTGGATATCTGGATCTGATATAGGTGAAGAAATGTAAAAAATAGTGTACAAATGAATGTAAAATATCCTTAGGGGACCGACTGTGTCAATTGTACTGATCCATTTTGCTGCACATTCACAGATCTCTGATCATATAGGTTGGTCAGCTTTCTTTGCCAGATGCCTATTATAGCTGTTTTGGTAGGGTGCAAATACTGTAACTTTTTTTATAAAATTAAGATTTTGTTCATTTAGTATGATCTAAATCTAGTAGATGTGTAGTTTATGGCTTTCATCTAACACTTGCAGTTCACCTTTTCCAGCAGATGTATACTATACATTCACATCAGTCCTTGCCCTCAAGGAGCTTACAATCGAAGGTCCTACACACCTCAAATGCATGCATTCACACACACACGATATAATTTTTTGAGAGGAGCCATCATGTCTTTAGAATGTAGGAAACAACCAAAATACACAGGAGAAATGCTCACAAGTACAGGGAGCATATGCAAACTGCCTTGGATTTGAACAGGGGACCCCAGTGCTGCAAGGTAGCCATATTTGCAGTTCTCAAACAGCCACATCTCCAGCGCCCCCATCCCACACACACACACACCCATTCACCAGTCATGTGTGCTGTGTCTCAAACCCCCAACACTGATCAGCAAAGTATACAGCCACTCATTACAGCAGTCATTTCTGAATCTTTCTTGTGATCTGCCTGTGTTATCTCTTGTACACTAGCACTTAGACATGAAGAGAGGCCCTATGAGCCAACTAAGCTCTGATGCATGTACGTACATGCTGTATACTGAAAAGAAAAGCCAGTGCTATTAGCAGAATGACCTGGTGATCTCTGTGTGGTCCTGCTGTTTCCTTGTCCAGTTATCAGCTTAGAGCAGTGGTCTCCAAACTGCAACCCGGGGGCGGATGCGGCCCTTTGCTTGCTTTTATCCAGCCCTTGGGGCATAATTCCCCCCACAATTGGCAACAGTAGGGGATGTTTTCCACCACTGACACCAATGATGGGGCAATATTCCTTCCACTGACAGCAATAATGGGGCACCAGTCCTCCCACTGACGCCAACGATGGGGGGGGGGCACTAGCACTGACGCCAACGATGGGGGGGGGGCACTAGTCCTCCCACTGACGCCAACGATGGGGGGGGGGGGCACTAGTCCTCCCACTGACGCCAACGATGGGGGGGGGGGGCACTAGTCCTCCCACTGACGCCAACGATGGGGGGGGCGGGCACTAGTCCTCCCACTGACGCGAACGATGGGGGGGGGCGGGCACTAGTCCTCCTCCCACTGACGCCAACGGGGGGGGGGCACTAGTCCTCCCACTGACGCCAACGATGGGGGGGGGGCACTAGTCCTCCCACTGACGCCAACGATGGGGGGGGGGGCACTAGTCCTCCCACTGACGCCAACGATGGGGGGGGGCACTAGTCCTCCCACTGACGCCAACGATGGGGGGGGGGCACTAGTCCTCCCACTGACGCCAACGATGGGACACTATATCTCCTGTTAATACCAATGATGAAGCATTGTTTACTCCCACTGATGCCAGAACATTTTTCTTCTCCCACTGGCCACAGTCTGGCCCCCCTAAAGTCTGAAGGACACTAAATTGGCCCTTCGGTTATAAAGTTTGGAGACCCCTGGCTTAGAGTATGTGTGTGTTTTGTTGTGGGTTTTTTTTTGTTTTTTTTTTTTTTTACTCTCGTGTCTTGACCAAGCAGTGCTGCTGAATTGGGGGTGAAGAACCTGGCTGTGTTTTCTGGCAGTTATGCTTGAATCACAGGATGGTTTTGCACAGAATTATAAATCTTTTGGCATGTAGAACAGGTTTTTGTTGTTTTCAGTAAGGTGTTGGGAATTCTAGCACTTTAAGGCCTCATGCCCACTTGAGCTAAAAAATGCTGGCGTCTGAGCTTTTTTCTTTTCTTTGTTTTTGTTTTTATGTTGGGCTGTGTGTCCATTGACACTATTGGCGTTTAGAGGCAGAAACAAAATTACTAGTTCATTCAAGAGAGGAGCATCTTGGCAGAAATACATGCCTGACGCATGTAGATAACACTAGGTGCTTTTAGCACTTGAGCGATTTTCCAGAATATTAATTTCAACACCCAAGTGGTTGACGTGCCTAAACGTCTGAAAAATGTGGTTTTTAGTACTGCTTTTGAAGCTGCTTTTCTCCTGCAAGAAAAGCTCTTAGAAGAGCCCCAATGTGTACGAAGCCTTACAGTGTAATGTCTTTACTAGAAGTACATCATGAAAAGCCAGCTTGGTCAAAATGTCATCTACCTGTGTGTTTTGGACACAGCCTAAGAAAAAGACCATTGAGACTGAGAACAACTAGAGATACACCGTTGGTTTTGCAGATCATCTGATTGTGATCCAGGTCTGTTACCAGGAACATGAGGTCATATATGTAACATCAAAGGGGGTAGTACAGCATTCTCTGCTAATCCTCTTGCTATAAGTGACTTGAATTGCACAATTATGTGATCTTTTTTTAGAGTTGTAGCACATAAGGTTGGATAAATCTCCTCAGTCTCAGGAGTGTTTTTTTTTATTGGTTACCCAGTGATCTCTTTCAGGAGCAAAAAATGAGCATTTTTATTCCCTTTTTTATGTGCTTTTAACATCATACAGAGTGTTTAATTTGTAACACACTCTAACCGCATGCAGTGTAGTGAGCTTGTCCGTAGAGTGAAATAAATGACTGCCTAATCGAAGTCTGTAATCTAATCTTTCCCTTAGTTGTGGAATGGTTTTCTAAGTTTACTCCAGTTGTGTGAAAGGTTCAGTTTGTGGACAAGGGTAGACGAGGCCTGCCCTCTAGTGCCCTAATGATATCCAGGTCTTCACCCAGCTGTATTGTGTGATTTTCCTGATCATTTTCTTTTTGTACACGCACATACATATTGCATAAGTGTGTTTTTCACATGTAAAGCATTTTGTTTCCTAAGCTTTTATCCTGTCACTCTCAAATTACTTGGTTTCTGCTTTCTTCAGTAGACACAACATACACAACCTAGAGACATAACATTTACCACTGGCCAAGAGATGCGCATGTAAACGCCAAAACAAAAAACGAATATATATTTCAGTGAATCAGTCCTTTCATATAAAAAAAAAAACAAAACAAGTGTAGATATCGCATCAAAGAACATGTTCAGAAAATAAAGCCTACTATGAGCTGAATGTCAGAGCGTCATTGGTCGGTTCAAGAGAAAGCGGCTGACATTCGGTCCGTGTGTATGGCAATCTGTTCGAGAGAAGCATGACCAAACAAGGTATGCTGAACAGGGCTCTCAGCCAATGGCTAAGAGTGTAGACTGGAGTGTTTTGGCAGGGGGACAATCCCCCTGTCAGAACACCATAGCACAGCAGGGGAGATCGCCGCACTAACGTTGGATAGTTCGTACAGCGGCTCCTCCTGACCTGTCAGTTTGTTTTTTTTTTTTTTTTTTTTTTTTTTTCAGCCTGCTGGGTTGAAATTTTTAAGAAAAAAAAAAATTGTAGTGTGTACCAGGCTTTAAGAAAATACTTGTTCATCTTGCTAGAAATGTGTTTGTCCTTTTTCATTTCCTGTGAGCTGAAAAGACTACTAATCTCCCCATGCCACATGTAATGGAGAGGAGCAAATGCAGACATGTTTAAGTCCTGTACACACAGGCCCTATATTGTTAGGTTCAACAGAAATCGGACGATATTCGGCCGGTATCAATACCAGCCTGTCCGACAGAAGCTGGCCGTTTGGAAAACCAGCATCTGCATCCAATCAGTACTGGCAGTGAAGTTGGGGGACAGGAAGTATGTCACGTGCGGGATTATTAATAGGTTAAAATAAAGGGAGAAAAGCCTGTTCTCTAATAATAATAATAATAATAAAAAAAAAAAGACCCCACATCTAAGGACTGGCAAGCTGCAATATTACTTTTTTGGTGGGGGGTCCTGATTTGCCTAAAAAAGCAATAATCTATGTGATACCTTTTGTGAAGTTACTTCTATACATAGTATATTGCAAAGATCATAACATAGTGTACATAAAGCAAGTTCTGTTGATGCATGTGATAAATAGAAACCTTTTTTATAACGATGGGCAAAGCATGGTTATTGCTTTCTATAGTCTGGAACACATTTTATAGTGATGAATAGATGTAAAATGTTTCTTTTTACAATCTAATGCATTTGTTTATTTTTACAGGAAATATTCCCAATGAAAAGATAGCTATATGGCTGAAAGACTGCAGGTAAGGAAATTATATTTAATTTTTTCATGGTGTATTTTATTTAAATAAAAGTTCCTTTATGATCAACGAATTAAAGCAAGCCTGTCCCCAAAAAAAAAAAAAAAACCCAAACTCATTCCCTACATTTCTGTGCTCAGCAGCACCACATTACTGATTCCACAGACACCTGCGATGTGTGAGGTGTCGCAGGAGGCCGGGGAAGGGAGGGGGTTAGGCAAACTGATGTAATTCTGGTAATTGGGGACGTGCAAGCGGGTATCTGTCACAAAGGGGTACTCTCTCCCTAAAGAAGGAAAAACATTTAACTTGAGACCGAACGGAGGAAGGGGATGAGTGGCACTTTCACTTTTGAGTGAAGGTCCGCTTTAAGCTCTGTTTTTCATGATATTGCCAAAGTGTGTCTTTTTTGCAGCATATTGGTCGGCTTGTGACCGAGCCAGGGAGATTCTGATTTGCTAACATGATACATCTTTTCTTGGGCTGAGGTCAGATAGCCAGTTATGCCACTAGCAATCCTGCCACTGGTGATCTGTCTAAATCACCCTTGGCAGGATCACAAAGAGGCTGCCTGTTTGTCTGTAGCTGAGGCAGCCAGATGTTGTTGCTCCCATCCCTAATGCTCGAAATTCGGCAGCTTTCTGAACAGAGGTAGCAATTCCATAGGGACAGATAGACAGCCTCTTGAGTGATCCTGACATCAGCCTTCCTAAGGTGAGTTATGTTGTACCAAGATCCTGCCATTCAGATCTTGGGAATGCTGTTGTCCATCACCAAAACCGAGCTAGTTTTGAGAACTGTGCACTTCTATTGTTATTCAGAGTGTCAGCCCTTAGAACTAGCACCTCTCCCAAGAGTTAGACAATGACGGCTTGAGGCACTGTTTGGGTGCTTCGGTAGATTCAGGAAACAGCTGACCCATCAAGCTTTTTTAAAAGAAAAACTCCACCTTTTGTTAAATTAATATAATGCATATAACTCCTTCATAAGCCATTTTGTTTTTTAAAGTGTCAGTCAACCCATGTGTTATAGGTATTGGTAGAGCTTAAGTCACCTGCTGGACTGTATCCCAGTCGACACCAGCCTTGAGACATATTTCTGCCACCTTGTGTTTTTGGGTATTCACATTCATCTGCTTGTGTTCCGGATAGTGTAAATTAAATTCCAGCAGGGAGACAGTAATGCCCTAGTAATTTGCTGCTGCAGGAATGCAGACCCCAAACTGCATGACATAGATGCTACAAATGTGGCAAGGAAGTGTTAGGTGGTTTTAAGTTTCTGATAACTGCTGGATGCTGAAATAAACTTTGGGTAGATTGTCCCTCTTAACATTATTACAGGTTACTGTTCTCTCATTAGCCACAGCCAGCTATGTCTTCCTGAAAACTGCTGAAAATAAATCAAATGTTGCGTCTTGTAACCATGGCAGCCAAGAGGAATCTGTATGTTGCCGGTACAGAATGGCCTAGAAGTGTCATTTCCTGCCCATGTGATTATGCTTTTCCCAGCAGTTTATCTCGCATTATAACCTAGTGAGAGAGAAAAAAATACAATCACTACTACCTATCACCAGCACAGGGAAACAGAACATTTCACCGAGCAGCAATCCCAGGACTCCAAGAATGTTCTCAGCTTGTTTCTCTGTGGTGGTTTTCTTTTTCTTTTTCTGGCTTACTGTTGAATATTGATGCCTGGCAGCATTCTTCACCTGGAAATGGCTTGGAAAGGCCATCAGAAACCTGTCTTAGAATCAGAGACTTCAGAACTATGAGCTACATCATCACAACACGGGGGGGGGGGGGATCTAAATGGTAACCGATTGGAATGCATGACCCGCACACCCCCAAAATCTGTACTGAACTCTTATCCAAGCAGGCAGCCCACCAGGCCAGGAAAGGCGGGGCGCGCGAGCACCCCCTTTTAAGAAGGGGGCCTCAAGATTCCAGCCTCCCCCATGTGAATGAGTATGGCATACATAGTATCCCTACTCATTCACCAAAAACATGTCGAAAGTAAAATTTAAAAACCAGAAGAGTTTTTGACTATAGGTTTATTTAAAAATAAACATGTTTTCCGATGTAAACCCATCGTTAATTATGATGACCGCTAGCCTGCATTGGAAAAAAAAAAAGCCTGCCAAGTCACGTTGCTTGTCACTCACCAAATGACAACGTTGCTTCCTCCTGCCGCTAAGTAAATAAAGGGGCGGGTTCACCGGGTGACCCTGTCCCCTATAACGTAATGAGACGGGTCATAGTGATATCATAACGGTGGGGTCACCCCTGCCCCTTTATTTAGTGGTGAGGGCACTGTTATTCAGTGAGTGACAAGCGACGGGACCCATCGTGTTCAGCGGTCAATGGGTTTGTTCCTTCTGGTGCGCGGCTGGCATTCATCATGATTGACAATGGATTTATATCGGGGGACTTTTTTTTTCTTCTAATAAAGGACTTGTCCAAATCTGGCTTGTGTTTTTTATTTACTTTTGAATTTTTTTTACCCCATAATCACTCATTCATGTGGAGGATGGGGCCAGAATCTGGAGGGCCCTTTTTTAAAGGGGGCTTCCAGATTCCGATAAGCTACCCCTCCCACCACCACCAGGCCGGGATTGTGTGGGAAAAAGGCCCTTGTCCTCATCAACATGGGGTCAAGGTGTTTTGATGGGGGGCCCCCTCTCTGACAAAGTACCCTCTCCCCATGTTGAGGGAATGTGACTTGGTATGGTTCAGTAGGGGGGGATAGCACTCGTTAATTCCCCGCATTTTCTGGTCTGCCAGGCTGCATGCACGGATAAGGATCTAGTATGGATTTTGGGGAGGACCCCACACCATTCTTTTTTTTGCTGTGGGGTCCCCTTTAAAATCCACACCAAACCCGAAGTTCTGCCAGCTCTTTGTTAGGAAGCTGGCGGGTACCAGCTTCTTAACAACCAATGACTCATCCCTGCTGCTGACAGCGGGGATGAGTAACTGGTTGTTAGGAAGCTGGAGGATGCCAACTCCTTTAAAACTGCAAAGCCCAAAGATGCTTTAAAAATGCTGTGCAAAAACGAGCTAAAATGCTCAAGCACACATAATGCATAACCAAATGCCTGCAAAAATGCTCAAAAGCATGATGCTCTGGTGTGAATGCAGGCTTTACCAGTGGAGGAATTAATAGGAAGGCCTCTGCTAAGTGTATGTACTGTATGTATACCTGTGCTCACCTCTGATGGTGTAATGAATTGGCTAGTGCAGGGAGTGAACATTATACAAAATTGATACAATGTTGTAGAGAAAGAACACTGTTGTTACTAAAGCTCTTTTCACACGAGTGGTCTTATCAGGACCGCCTGTCCGTTTTTCAGGCAGACTCGTTAGGACTCCCCATTCTCCTCTAAGGGCAGTCAGATGTGAATAGATTTGTGCCTATTTACACCCGACTACCTCCAATTCGTGGGTTCCCCTCCATCTGGCCAGATTTGGATCGGAGGGCAGTCAGCTGTAAATGCTCAGTTTACAGATCCCCCTACTGAGCAAAATGGATCCAGGCCATGTGAAAGGAGCCTTAAGGTGACCTGTTGCTCATCTGTCAAGTGTTTGAGACTCAAACTTAACAGTTTCATCTCTTCAGCATTGTTTCAATTCTGTATAGCCGCTTTCTCTGTTCAGTAGCAGATTCATTACACTTAAATGCTTATTTACTATGATCATCCGCTCCATCTAGTGGTCATATTGTGGTATTTTCATGTTTTGCGCTATTCTTATAAATGAAAACATTCAAACTGGAATAGCCTTTTAACATTTTTGTTTTTGATCCAGTTCACACAAAACAAATGTTTCACAGAACAAATAGCTGGCATTTTTTTAAAAATACAGTGCAGAGATCTCCTTCATGATATTTCTTTTTCTGGTTGAATGTTCTTTCACTCTTCTGGTCGATTGTTCCTAAGACCATTTTCTCTCAGGATTGAATGTTGGCAAAGGTATATTCGTCCTCTGACAGACAACCAGTAGAGATTGACATTTCATACATATTTACAAACATTACTGGTAATCCTGTTAGCTGCAGTGATGATCATAAAGTATATCACAGTGATAACACAATGATGAGAGCAGTCAATACATGAGCTAGTGGTACTCACAAAACCTTAGCATTCTGTTTTTTAAGATGAAGTGTATGTAGAAGAACCAAAAAGGGCACATGAACCCCATGCAAAAAATGCAGTATTAACATAAAAACATAGAAATTGTCAAAAGTTCCAGGGTAAAAGGCGCAACTTAGGCTGTTGAAGTAAAATCTGCTGAAGACTTCCCATATCCAGCCACTGGTTACATGGTACTCTGTGCGAACTACCTTTCTTATTGTCATATTTATAGCTCATCTCCATGTTTTAGAGAACTTTTAAACAGCTATTTGCTTCACTAACCACATGAACTGCAGCTGCATATAGTATACAATGCTGTGTTATGGAAGCGGGGTGGGAACTTTCTGTCCTGTTCCCGTTTTGAGTGCTGCTCATCCATTCACAAAAATCTTTGTATTTTCTGAATGAATTCAAAGCATCCTTTGGCTGAGATGGGCAGATGTTGCGATCTCCACCTCAGCCAATCGCAGGAAGCTATTTATTCATAGACTGCAATGTTTCCTGTTTATGGCTGAGTCAAAACGACTTTTTTTTTTTTTTTTTTGTTCTGGTAATAGGATGAGAAGTTCCCATTTTGTTACAGTGCTGTACACCTTATGCAGCTGAAAGCTGCTGACTCAATTAGTGAAGGAAATTGTTTGTATGGACCAGCTTAGTCCAAACTAACTATTTTTTTTTTTTTTATAGTTCACCAAAACATGAAGATCAGCTTTAAGCAGGGACCAGCCATATTTTGATCCGTATGTGGCCATTCCCATTCGAGAGGAGACAGCCTGATAATCATCTCCTCTCAAATGGGACTGTCAGTAAATTTCTTCAATTAGTGCATGCAGCCAAGTAGGGGAGAGGAGTCCCACTGTCAAAATACAATAGC